ACCCTGTGTATGAGCCGCACCCTGCTCCCGACAACGTCCCCCGGGAGCTCAGCGTAGAAGTACGGCCCATCCTTGAGCGTCGCTCTCAGGTCAGCATCTTCCGGCACCTGCAAAACAAGGCCGTGTTGATCGATCGGGTTGCACGGTGGACGGACATGAGGTTTCGCCTTTCTCGGATCTACGCGCTACAGAAGACCGTCTATTTACTCGCAAGTTTGTTAGTTGAGGCTCGCTGGGATTTTCGAGAGTATAGCGCGTCAGCTGTACGAGCTGTTGACCTGTAAATACGTGAATACAGAGGTTTTCGCAAGTGACAGAGTACTGCTGTATGTATTTCCAAAAACGACCATTGTTTGTGGGCCACGCAAGCCTTTTTCGAGCCCGGGAATGTCATGTCGTGGTGATTCGTCCCCCCTTCTCAATCGACTGAGTGCCTCGCAAATTGAAATAGGAAAGTGTTTCCGCCATATTTTTTTGGAACTATGTCGATGTTTACACGATTGTGTACATAGTTCTTACAAAAGAGACACTTGCCCAGAGACGTCGACATTGCCTCAGTTTCCTCCTTCAACAAGAACACCTCAAAGAAACAAACAACAAATGGAAGGGCGGCTCATCTTCCGGTTGAATCAACCAACACCGCTCAAAAATGTTGAATATAAGTCAATTTGTATTTCGCTCAAACCTGGAATTGGCTTGACACTCCATGGCTGAAAGAAAAACAACAGCTTGAACAACATTTGACTTTCAAAAAATCATCCACGGTGACAAAAAAAACAACGACATTGTACGCAGACAACCTCAACGGACGACTTAAACGCACCCCCTTGTTTTGTTGACAACGGACGCTGTTGAACAGCTCGTTAACATGGCGGTCCAAAACACCATCTCGCGCAACATTCCGCACTGCCAACACCAGTGTGTTCGTGACAAACGTACTGAGTGAGTTGCCGTAGGTGGTATGACGTGAGATATCACACCCCCTGGGCCGGTTTTCAAAGCTCGATTGCTCCGCACCGAAAGAAAGAGCGGCAGCGCCGATAACGGGGGGCGTTGAAGCCGTCTGACCGAGAGCTTTCCGAAAGCGTATCGCTTCACTTACGCATCCTCTTCGTCGTCGTGGAGTAGCCTAATCGAGCCACGAAAATCGACTCAGGGGGTGAGGTATCTCGCGTCGTGTCACCTACGGTATACTTTCGCGAAACGTTCCACTCACCTCTTGGAAGGTCATGCCGTGCCTGGTGCCTTCGGAGCGCATGAGTATCCGGGCTCCTCGAGAACCCTCGCCAGCCGGAATCGGCACCGCCTGACGGGTTAAGGTTAGCGTTAAGGGTTGGGGTTAAGGTTAGTAGAGGACGCCCTAGGCGTTCAGAGTCTAGATTCGGTCAAGTGTCAGTCGAGAAGACACGCTGTGCCACGCAGAGTCTCGATTCTGTTAAGATTTTTTTTTAGTACATGGCACGCTACGTCATACGGAGTCTCGACGGAAAAAAATAGTGATGTACACGCCAGGCTACAAGTGAGGGTTGGTGCGAGGTAGTCGGGGTAATGTCGTAATTTTCCTTCAGAGTGGAAGAGCGGGTGGGTACGAAACACTATATTGTCAAACAACATCTGACGAGGAAATTCAGCAACAGCATCCGCAGCAGCAAGCAACAGCAGCAGCAGCAGCAGCAGCAAGAAGCACGGACAAAATTGAACAAGAGTAGGTTCGGAAAACAAATCTTATTCTCGTGTGCTTGCCTGAATGTGCAGGTGATGAGCCCCCTTGGTGGGGACGCAGCGCTCGAAGAAGAACGGCTCGCACCCGCAGCTGAGGCAATACCTGCGACCACAAGCGAGAGAGAGAGAGAGAGAGAGAGAGGAGGGAGAGGAGGGAGAGGAGGGAGAGGGGGGGTTATGAAGAATGGAATGAACGTACAAAGAGCGTAGACCACTTCTTCTGTGCAGACGTCAGAAGGGTGATCGATGGAACAGACGGCGACAGTATCAACAGCAACAGCGACAGCAGTACATGTACTGCTGTAGTGACAAACAAGCGAAAGCGACAACAGCACAGCAACAGCAGTGGCAGCAACACTTCAGCAGCGACGACACCACCACCACCACCAACAACAACAAGATGACGGCACCGACTACAAAACAGGCACCATGGAAAACTGAAAAAGGTTTCACCCAAGAAGCACCCACACACCTCTTGAAGGACTCCTTGTACTGCTCGGCCTCCTTGGCCCCCTCGGCGCTAAGCTCGCTGTAACGCTGCTGGTGCGACACGGGCACGATCAGCACATGCCCCGGGACCAAGCCTCCCTACAGCAGCAGCAGCATCGCACCATCACCCCCGCGAAACGTCAGGAAAAAGAGAGGGGCGAAGTAAACAAAGAGGAACATGGAAAGAAACAAAAATGCATGGAGGAGAGCTTCAATTACACCTGGACGAGAACAAAAAAATGTGGCTGCTGTACACAAGCAAGTTGCAAAGGATGGCATGACTGGTGCGTTATTTCGCGCTTTTTGACGAGAAACAAGCGTTTTTTCCTCCACAAACATTCCATCCAAGACGGCCGCTAGCAGCACAGTACCGGCCAGCACAAGAAACAGCAAAGGTGTGGTATGAAGCATCCGAATACACACGCGAAAAAAAAAAAAAAAAACGGAGCAAACAAAGGCAGACACCTACCACTCTGGTTGGAAAATACAAAGACTATTCTGATGTACAATGTGAATATCGCAACGGTCCCTACCGTCCGTATGTTGAGTACATAAGGTACCACACCCCCCGGACCGATTTTCGAAGCTCGATATCTCGGCAGGAAAAGACGCGATGGTTCCGAAAATGCCGGCGTTCGAAAACCGTCTCGTCGAGAGCTTTCCGCGAACGATTACTTCAATTGTTTCGGCATCCTCTTCGTCGTGGAGTAATCGAGCTTTGAAAATCGGTCGCAAGGGCTGGTATCTTACGCAACCTACGGTACACCACCAAACAGGATGACACAAACCTCGGGGGCTACTTCCGACATTACCTCAAACGGAGACAGCAGCAGTAGACTAGTGGTTTCGAGACAAAAGACACATGCCTTCTACAGCAGTAGAGCTTACTTACCTTGGGCTGCGCCAGGTAGATTTCGTCAGCCACGGAGCAGACGAGGTGATCCTCCAGCTGTGGGGACGCGAGGCAGAACCAGCACTCCAGACGACCGTCAGCCTTGTGGGGACCGCCGCCGAACCCGCTCTTGCCCGCGCCTGGGAGCTGCATAAAAAAATTGAACGAACGACAGAGGGAACTCTTTTTTTATTATATGGCAAGAACATT